AAAACATAGCATAAAACTAGTCTTATTTCCAGCACCACAGGAGGGTTAGGACTATTCACTTAGTCTGTAAATGTGAAAGAACTCTCAGCAATTTTATTAGCTTTAACCTCTGTATGTGCTCTGAAGAAAAGTAGAAATCTAACTAATTTGAGATAAAAACCACTGGTCCTGATACTGTTCATGACTCTGTGAAGGTTTAGTTTCATGGGTATTCACCCAAATCCTCATGACTGACTTTTCTAATGTAATTCCAGGAAAATGGGCTGTCGGAGAGATACCATTATGGCAGCTAATGAGAGAACTTGAAATCTGAAGGCTTACTCCTTAGACACACATCTCATTAGAGAAATGGGATTTAAATGGTTTTGAAATACACCACATCTTACCAAAAGAAAAAGAAAAAAAAACTGATACCAGCTTACAATTCATTAACAAGTACTAGACTCTCAAATATAGCTAAACAAAAACTATTACCATGAACTGAACTAAGACAATATAAATAGTTCCTAAAGCATAGTTTGCCAAAGTTTGGATGGTTTCTCAAAAAGCATACTATAAAAATCTTAATTTTTGAAGGCTCACTTTTTAAATAGGGAAAAGTCTTTGAAGAGCATTTTAAGGTTAGATATCCTTTTGTGATTAAGTTAATTCAGATGCATTGACTCCTGCTAAATTTTTATTGCAGCACGAGCTACGTTTTCTGGTCACGAAATTTCTCATTACAGCACAGGAAAAGGAAGATAAAGTAGGAAAGGGATCAGTTTCAAATTCAGTCCTAAGCAGCAACAATGTTTGAGATGCAATCATAAAACCAAATATTTCACCTAGGACATGGAAAAAGCACTAGATCACCAGAAAGCAAAGAGTAAAAAGCTGCAAGCAAAAGCAATAAGATGCCAAACTTGGAACAAGGTCTTACTGACACATAATATGCTAATCAGCTCACTCCTTTAGGCCAAAAAAAAAAAAAAAAGTCTTTGTTCACATAGGTAACATATATATTTTTGAGAATAAAAAAGTCACCATGGAGATATATTTTTTTAAACATTTTTTATTTTCTGAAATATTTGACTATTTCACTGATAAACTAAAAAGGAATATTATTTAATTTTGTTGTTTCTTTTTTGTAGCCTTTATGACCTGTAATATTAACTTGCTTGATGGTAAAGAACCAAAAGTTAATGGAAGGGCCTTGACCACGAGTTTCTCCTATGACAACCTTCACTATTCCTGATTTTGTGGATTTAGAACAAAGTTACAAATGTGTTTATTTTGTTAGTTATTAGTAAGGCAATATATAAATTTAGATTTTTTCTGAAGTTGAAAGAACTGAATGAATACTAGCCCTCTTTCAGTTTCAGTATTATAGACAATGCTCTTATTCATTCAGGTACTTCGGACACTTGCTCCTTTCAAACATGCATACTTTTAAAATACAGTGCCCAAATGTGTTAATTTGAGGACATCAACAACTGAGAGGCCTTTCCATCTGCTCTTTAGCCTGCTTCTCTCGATATGTAAACTAGTGTATCAGTGTGTCTGTTAATAAATACAGTTCACACAATTGAGAGAACCCTTTGGATTTAAGCATTGCAAAACAATGGTATTTAGTCGACTTCTTGACTATAAGAACATTAGACTAACCGACATCTTGCTGAAAAAACTAGATTAAATTCATGCCATTTAAGCCAACAGAATGACGTGTCCTCTCCTAGTGTCGAATCTAATCTGTGGCACTTTAACACACTTCAGGTGAGAACACACACATATACTGAGATATAAGGAAAAAAAAACTGCATAATACTTGAGACTTCAAAGCCTTCATTCCTAAATGCCCCAAAGTTACATGTTCCTCCTACTCTTTATTAAAGAGCCTTCTGAAAACAAGTCTGAGAAGCATTTCTTTAAGTATACACGATAGTAAGTACTCTTCAGAGTCAATATTAGATAATAAGTTTGGACTGGGACTAAGATAAGCATTCTAAAATTGAGACTGTAAAGGATTACATGAAAATATCATCCTGTCATTAAACAACTCAACTTCACAACTAGCCTGACACTGATACATTTTCTTCCAATCAAAAGTAGCTGCAAACTGGCACGTCCCTGGTGGCGCAGTGGTTAAGAATCCACCTGCCAATGCAGGGGACAGGGGTTCGAGCCCTGATCTGGGAAGATCCCACATGCCCTGGAGCAGCTAAGCCCGTGCGCCACACTATTGAGCCTGAGCTCTAGAGCCCGCAAACCACAACTACTGAAGCCCACGTGCCCAGAGCCTGTGCTCCACAACAAGAGAAGCCCCCGCTCTCCAGAACTAGAGAAAGCCTGCTAGCAACAACGAAGACCCAACACAGCCAAAAAAAAAAAGTAGCTGCAAACCTTACTCTGCATCTTTCAGGTAAATCTATAAAAATTTTCTACTTTTATTTCCCTTTATCTAAAGGGAATCAAACACACTGATTGGGCTTTCCTGCAATTAGTGACTATGAGCAAAGAACTAGTCATAGTCCTACCCTCTTATTTTTGCTCTTAAGCCAGAACCATATTACTTACAAAGATAAAAGACACCCCATTATGAAATGGTGACATTTGGATGAAAAATGAATCAGAGTAATTTCCTTTGAAATTATTTTTTCAAATTTCCTTTGAAAAAATTTTCCCAAAACTTAAATCATAGGGGCAGTCTTTATCAAAATAAAAACTTTACATCAAAAAGAGCAGCTTTGGGAATTCCCTGGCAGTCCAGTGGTTAGGACTCTGTGCTCTCACTGCTGAGGGCCCAGGTTCAATCCCTGGTCAGGGACCTAAGATCCCACAAGCTGCATGGCGCGGCCCAAAAAAACCAGAAGTTTTGGTAATGGAATGTCTTTTCATTTTCTACTAGGAAAATTGTTAGCATATTTTCATGAACAAAGGTAAGACAGTAATGGAAATAACTAGGCACAGTCATTTCATCGTGTGACTTTCAGACGATGATGAGTTTGTGAAAAGTTAAGGCAACGAAGTCACATTATGAATATGCTGAAGAATTCACACAAAAGGTAGAATTCTCACTTCTCTTTAATCACTGAGTTTCAGATTTTACAAATAATCTTAGAACAATTCAGGTAACTAAGGTTTTGGGGGGAAACAGTTCTTACTTGTACATGAAGAACTATTACATGCTCCATTTTTCTGCAAATAACTCTATTGGCTGGATTAACAAACACTGTCACAGAAACACAGAATGTTTTTAAAGCCATAGATCGCTGCATATATATTTACAAAAAGCCATAAACAAACATGCATTTCTCCTTATTAGGAGAACTTAAATAGATGTTTGAACATTAAGGCAGTGATGATTCTAAAACATAATGAAATTCTAAGTTAAGGCTTTATGTTTGTTTTGAAAACCATATTCATAGGCAACTGTGACCAAAGCAAACTTGTATCTATCAATCAGATTGAGCTCCTCTACTCAGGATATGTTATTTATCCACTACCAATAATTCTTCTACAGGATAGGAATTAGTAGCAACACCACTGAGTTACTTTAATGAATTCTTAGTCCCTCCTTAGGTTTCATTTTGAGGATTTAGCCTTCAGCAGCATAAGCACGTGCCACAGAAAGAACAGAGCATTTTTCTGGGTAAACTCGGAAAAATTTACAGACTGCACTGATTTTTACTTGCCTGAAAGTTGGCCAACAATCAAGAACTCAGAATCTCCTAAATACAGAAAACTCCAAAAGCATACTTAACCACACACCCATCTCAAAACACAGATGTTCTTGATTATTGAAGCACTTGGTCTTCACCTCATTTTCTTTGAAGACTGTTTGGTATTACCCTCTCCACACAAACAAAGCAACAAAATGCAGAACGCCATACTTTAGATGGATCTATTCTATAATTGCTATCCTCAAGGCACAAATACTATCCTTGCTAGACCAATGTGTTTCCTCATTTAAGGAAAAAATGAGAGGTGGATGAAAACAAGATTCACTTTAAAATAGCTGCTGATTGCACTCTTGCCCTATCAAGCTTATGCAAACTATTGAAATTTAGGGGGGAATGTCCTTTTCTCCTTATGTTTTTTTTTTTTTTTCCTTGCGTTATGCGGGCCTCTCACTGTTGTGGCCTCTCCCATTTGCGGAGCACAGGCTCCGGACGCGCAGGCTCAGTGGCCATGGCTCACGGGCCCAGCCGCTCCGCGGCATGTGGGATCTTCCCGAAACGGGGCACGAACCCGCGTCTTCTGCATCGGCAGGCGGACTCTCAAGCACTGCGCCACCAGGGAAGCCCTGTTATTTTTTTTTAAACATTTAGAGAGACAAAACTCAGACTCAGCTGGTGGGTGAGCTTTGAGGAGCAGCTCTGGAGCGCCGTCCTGGCCTTCTGTAGAGAGTAGGAGAGATGCTCGTAGGACACACTCCAGTCTGGGCTAACAGGCATGATTTCCCAGCCCAGCATTTCCATAGTCGGGGTGACTTACTGTCACTTAGACTGAAAGGATCACTATTTACACTAAGTGCTTGCTGCTACTTCTTTAAGCAATAATTTTACAGCAACACGTCTTGTGAGGAAAGTACTATACACTTAACGTCGGAATCAGTAAGAGTTCACGTAGAGGAGGGATGGCATTGACTATATGAAAATTGTCTCAAAAGCTAAAGACAAGTGTAGTTTCCTTTGTGTCTTCAAATCGGGAGAGTAAGATGTCAAAGCAGATGAAGCTGTTGGTGTTTAAATCTGATGGTACAGCATCAGACTTCTTTAGACATCATTGGGACACAGGAATTTCTAACAAGCACTGGCAAAAGTATTTTAGGTGCAATTTAAGTAAGTCATACTTTGACTAAAGTGTTTTGAAGGTTTGAAAAGTTTGTACCCTAGTCCTGCTGAGCTTGGCTTCAGCTAAATGGCTAGATGGGTTTTAAAGATGTGAAATACATTTTTTTTTTAAGAAGGGAAGACTACATTGAAAGGGCAAACGTAGGCAACACAAAAACAATTCTTGTTAGATCAACATCTTATACTTTATAATACACTCACACATTTTTACACAAATTTCATGTTTACAGTACAAAAGGCAAAGAACCTCAGATAATCGAAGTTACTGTATCATCAAGTACATTCAATAGAGTTAACACTGTTGTCCCCATTCTCCATCTTCTAAATCCAGAAGGGAACCAACTGTAAATGCCATCCCCCATGTGGATTCCACTTTCAGAAGCTGGAGACTGGGTGTAGTTCTGCACATGTCTGGGTTTCAACAGAGCTGAACTGAGATTCCATCGTGTTCCAGGCCAAATCGGCCAGAAGAAAGTCATCCATTGCTGTTTGAGTTTCATTGCTGGTGAAGAATAAGCTCCCCAAAGTTTCAAAGCCAGAATTCATGGTCTGTGTTTCTGCACTGTTCAACTGAACTTTGCTTTCTAGAGCAGGTAGGTTTTTAGCGGTGGAGATTCCTTCAGTTTGGGTCTCTGTGTCAGATGAATCAGTACTCATGGAAAAGCTGGAGTGTTTCAGAATACTTCCCAGAGGCAGATGAGGGCTACTGTCTAAAAAGAAGTTCAGGTCCGTCTGTGTCTGCGTGTCAAACATTTCAAGGGCTAAGAAGTTAGAATTTCCCCTACAGCTGTAGGACTGGGCACAGGCATCTGCAAGTAAGAAGTCAGTTTGGGTCTCTATGTCCAGGGATTCCAAGACTGGCTCCGTGGTCATGGTGCTAAGCTCACTCTCTTCAGTTTGAGTCTGGATATTTGAGGCCGAAAAGAACTCTTCAATATCAAAATCAATTGCAGGATTCGGGGTTGGGCCAGATGGGAGCTGGGTGTCAGGTCCAGTATTTGTGTCAGACAAAAGACTACGATTGTCCAGTGTCTGACCGGGCAGATTACTTGACAAGATGTTTTCTATATCACTTAATAAATCTATGGTTTGGGTCTGATTATCTGTCATATTCTGTGAAGAAAGTATACTATTATTCTGTGCACTGAAGTTTATAATTGGTGCAGATTTCTCAATATCTTGATTTAAAGTTTTAGGGTGGTTCTGAGGTAACAAACCATGAGTCACAGTCTCTGCTACTAAGCTGCTGCTTATAATACTGTCTGTAGAAACACCATATGACGAATGGACACTCTCAAAAATGTCTCCACACATTACAGCTTGGTCCATCTGTACTCGATCATCGGTTGGACTTTGCATTCCACTGGTCTGAGTTTCTCTGGAGATCCCACCTGACTGGAAACTGGCATCTATAAACACATCAGTCTGAGCTGCTATAGATGAGGTTACCTTAGAACTGGGCAAAAAAGTTTGAGTATGAACACTAATGGGAAGGGAAACTTGAGAACCAAATGTCAAATCAGTTTGAGAACAAGATGACACAGAGGAATCAGGGCTAGCCCACTCTGCAGATGGTATAAAGTGTTGTGTGGTATAAGACAGTTCTGTCTGTACATTGATTGAAGAAATGCTGTTCTTCTGACATGTGTTCCCTAGTTCTTGTAAAGGGTTAGATGGACTTTTACCCAAGTTCACTTGAACACCTGTGCTAATTGGCTCAACAGCAACAGGATTTACAATCTTTGAAAGAGGGAGGCTCTCCTTGAGAGAGCAAGCCTCCGAATCTAGGCCGAGGATCAGGGTTCCGACGGACAAGGGCAGTAAGTGCACAGCACCGTGGGCAGAGCCCTGATGATCGACACCCAACACCACAGGCTGGGCTGAGGAGTCGGCTGTAGGCACAAAGACAGGCACAGGAGAAAGCTGCATAACGGGGAGTTTAACCAAAGCCACTTTGGGCTTTGGTAAAAGCAACTTCTGAGGATACCTTGGAGGTGTTGGAAGAGTCTGCTTTCTGGCATTAGAGCTGCAAGAATCTTCAAACGAAGCCACTAGCTTTATTTCTGAAGTTTCTAGTTCTTGAGCATCTGGTCTTGGGGTTGCTTGGTTGCTCAGCAATTCAACAGTCTTACTGGACAACTTCTGGTTGTGCAGGCAGTTTTCCATTTTCCTTTTCTTACTAGGTGGATCCCTGAAAACAATGACAGAGTAAAAAGAGAAAAACAATTTTAAACTGCAGTTTTCTTCATCAACCCTGGCACTGTATCTTCACTTACAAATTCTATTTCCCATATCTACAGCAGAGGTCAGATTCAACCCAGGGAAGCGAAATCCCTTCTTTTGTAACTCAGCCTATTATCAATATATGGTAGGTAGAAGTTCAGAAACATGCAAACAGGGAAGCACACCTTTTTTTGGGTAAAGTGCTAAGTACCAGAACTCAGCTTAGATCCGTAAGCATCAGGAAGCTAACAGATTATATAACACAACTATTATCATTTCTAAAGTAGGAAGCTCTTAGTCCAAATATAAATATGACCTTTCAAATGAAGCACAGTTTCATGATAAAAAACTCTTCAACAATCTAGTATCCCTCTAACAGAAAACGCTGGAAGTTTTTGAAGAATTGAAAACCCAATAGATTTTCAGTTGGGAATAATTAAGGGATTCTCAAAAGGAGCTGGTGAAAGAATAAGGAAAAACAGTTGGGTCAAGTAGATGTGGATCATTTGCTAGTACTGCTGCCATTTCCAAAAGTTCCCTTCTTCATGTCACATCTTTTCTCTGCCATTCCTCCTTTCTCCCCACACTAATGGCTCTACAGGAAGTTTCATTTGAAAATCTTCCCACAGCTATTGGCTTTTGGGCCACCATTTTTTCCCCTTTACCTGTGTTCTGCAGGGATCTCATGGCCAGTTCGGTAGATGTGGGACTGTAATGCAGTCCTGCTGGCATAGGGACAGCCACATGTGCACTGGAAGGTCTTACCACAATCCTCTGCATGCCTTTTCAAGTCCCACTCAGTGCCATATGAATTGCTGCACTTACTACATTTATGCTTCTTTTCAGCATGCATTTTCATAAAGTGCTAGGAAGAACACAAAAGGACTAAAATGAAAAACTGCAACTGCTCAAAACATTTAAAAAACCATCAACATACCCAAATTAACAATGATTTTACATGATACAATATATCAGTGCAAATCAAAAGAAAGTAAAAGCAGGCAACTCTTCCGGTCCAGAATCATCTCTTTCTCCACTGCCTGCGACCCTCCCTCCTAAGACAGCTGCTTCTGAAATTATTCTTTTCCCTGCAGTTTCTTAATCCCTTGGGATAACATCTCCTTTGTGCTTTTGCTCCTCTGACCTTGAAAGCAAGCAGATTCACACAAGAGATCTGGAAGTACAGTTTATCATACTTTGCTGACTTGGTCTTCTTTTCTTTCCAAATCCACTTCTGGACAACTTCCCCTCCAGAACAAGCCATGTCTCCTTCACTTACACCCTACTCATTTTTTCCCCAAGTGGGAGACTTGGGTGGCTGTCCTTACAAGCAGCTTTCTGCTCAATTCTCTAGTTATGATTGGTAAGTAATTAGAATACATGAGGTTTATGACATCTGCATTTCATCCTCAGAGAAGTATACTTAAAGACAAGTAAAATACCTGTTTTACGAGAGAAAATTGAGAAAATGGTCTGTCAGGGCCTCTAGGGCATCCTTCAATTGGACAACAGTAGAATTTTGGTACAGTTTTCAAATCTTTTCTTATTGTTGGATTCACTATGCCATCCTGCAAAAGAAAAATTACTTTAAATAATTATCTTCAAAAAACCAACAGATGGGCTTCCCTGGTGGCGCAGTGGTTGAGAGTCCGCCTGCCGATGCAGGGGACACGGGTACGTGCCCTGGTCCAGGAAGATCCCACATGCCACAGAGCGGCTGGGCCCGTGAGCCATGGACGCTGAGCCTGCGCTCCGCAACGGGAGAGGCCACAACAGTGAGAGGCCCGCGTACCGCAAAAAACAGAAAACAACAACAAAAAAACCCCAACAGAACAAGCAGGGAGTGATAACAAGGAATAAGTAAAGATGTGCACAAGGGATCTTTTTAGGGTGATGAAAATGTTCTAAAATTTGGGATTGTGGTGATGGTTGCACAACTGTAAATCTACTAAAAAGTAACTGAATCATTAACTTAAAATGGGTAAATTATATCGTGTAAACTATAGCTCAATGAATCTGTTAAAATTTTTCAAAACAAAATAAACAAAAACCAACTATATTGTTTAAAAATCTTCTATCCATTCCTTTAGCACTCCTTCTAGACTTAAAAATCTCTGCCCTTCAAGCCAGCTTCTCTAATCGTTAAGTGGTATATTTATAGTTTCTCAGGCTCAAGACCTGGTATCATCCTTAAGTCTCCCTTTCTTTTTTATCCCACCCCCACTGAATTAGTGTCAGTCTCTGAAAAAAACCTGACTATGATCTAGTCTTCCTGATAAAGAGAACTGTGACTTTCTCTGATCACCACAATGCCCCCTAAAGTAGCTAAAGCTAGTTAACACAACTTTTATACAGTAGCGTGAATATAGGCACCATGCTCTGTTTGAAATTCAGTAATCATTATAATGGCCAGTGCTAATATAGCTTTTACTACCGTGGCAGGCACTGTTCTAAGCACTTTATATATATTAACTCATCCTAGTAATCCTTTCTAATTAAGTATGTGATTGACTTTTTGGCTGGGAATTTTAAAATAACTGGTGAGTTAATTTAGCTTAAAGTGCTGTCTTGTTGCCCTTGATGAGCCCATATACCTCAGGAATGAGAAACCTATGACCTCCAGTATAATTCTTATCTGGCAACCCCCAGCTGGCCCCAGAGGGAGGTGTGTGGATGGAGGGTTGGGGTGGGGAAGGACCTCCCTACTACAGGTGGAAACAACTGGACACGTGCTCAGGCCTCAGCTACCGCTGTAGCACCTAGACGTTTTAGTCCTTAGGTGCTGTGATGGGAAAGGATTCACTACTTTTGGAACACGCCCACCTCCTCCGCTTCCATCAGTGTGCATCTAGAGAAGAAACGAATAATGGTGCGGCTAGGACTCCCTCCATTTGCTTTCCTACTGGATCTCAAGAGGAACATGTTGATCTTGTTGAGTCTGTGTCCACTCATGTAGAGAGGAAAAGAAGCTATTCTTGTTTCATTTTTAAACAATGTAATTTATCTCTCAATGATATCAAATGTAGTCAGTTATTCCTCCATGTCTTCTACCTTGGTCCATCTTTTTATAATCCTATTGCACTACACTGTCTAGATACTCATATTCATTTGGATTATTTAAATGGTTTCCTAAATAATTTTCCTTCCTCTTCTAATGTCAGAACAAATTTGACATTCCAAAAAATTATTTGTATATATCACCAAATACTATTTTTTTAAAAAAGGCACATAAAATAAAATCCCGGGACTTCCCTAGTGGTGCAGTGGTTAGGAGTCCACCTGCCAATGCAGGGGATGCGGGTGCGAGCCCTGGTCTGGGAGGATCCCACGTGCCGCGGAGCAACTAAGCCTGGGTGCCACAGCTCCTGAGTCTGTGCTCTGGAGCTCGCGAGCCACAACTACTGAGCCTGCATGCCACGACTACTGAAGCCTGCGTGCCTAAAGCCTGTGCTCCACAACGAGAGAAGCCACTGCAATAAGAAGCCCGTGCACCGCAATGTAGGGTGGCCCCTGCTCGCTGCAGCTAGAGAAAGCCCGCGCGCAGCAACAAAAGACCCAACACAGCCAAAAATAAATAAATAAATAAATAAAATTTATAAATAAATAAATAAAATAAAATAAAATCCCATCTCCTCATTATGCCTCCAATCTACCATTATAACCATACCTTTTTCTGTTCCCTTTTCATATACTCCCCTGCTCAGCCTAACACTCTTCCCACTTCCATTTCCACCTTCTACAGCCACTCTCAGATGACTGTCTCCGTTCAGGCAGAATGCAAAGGTGGGAAGAGGGCACGGCATGGAGAGGCCTGTGAGCCATTTCCACCACTGATTAGGCACATGACTTTAGACAGGTTATTTAATCTCTGAGCCAGTTTGCTCATTTCAAAAACAGAGAGAATAGTTAACTCTCAGGATTATCTAGTACTGGATTGGCATGGAGCCCGCTCACATTCTCAATAAATAGCACTCCCTTGTTCTGTTCACCACCCAGATCTATTCCTTGTCTGAATTCCAAGGTAGCAGCTAACTTAACTTGTAAACTATCATTTTCTTCTAGAATTCCTGTCTCCTCAACTAAATTTCTTAAGGGCAGAAACTAATTTATACACCTCTTGGTACTGTTTTCATGCTTTAGAATGCACACTAAAGGCAGAGCACTTTTAGAAAGGCAGTCCAGTGTCGGGCAGCAGCTCTCAAATCTAGCGGCCTGTGAAAAATCACTTGAGGCGTTAAAAAAAAATACCTGTGCCTGGTCCCAGTCCCAGGTAATGATATAATTAGTTTTGGGTGGGTTTGGTATTTGGTTTGGTATTTGGTTTAAAAATCTCCCCTGATGATCCCAGTGTGTAGCCTAGCTTAAGAACCATGGTGCAGTGGTTAAACCCATGGGTTCTGGAATATGGAATTCTCTACGTTGCTCCTTTCCTGTGACCTTGAAAAACTTAACTGTCGTGGTTTCCTTATTTGTGAAGTAGGCATGATAGTACGATCTACCTCAGGGTTGTGAGGATTTAGTGAATAATTTAAGAGACTTAGAACAGTGCTTATCATATAATCACTCAATTAATTATTACAGCTACTAGTTATCAGCTGTGGAGATTTTTGTTGCTTCTTTTGCTTTCTGCCAACCAACTTAAGGCCAATAAGCTAATCTAAACTAGTACTTTATATTAAATACTGTCCTTGTGGCAACAGAAATAAAAGCAAAAATAAACAAGTGGGACCTAATCAACCTTACAAGCTTTTGCACAGCAAAGGAAACCATAAACAAAACAAAAAGACAACCTACAGAATGGGAGAAGATATTTGCAGATGATGCAAAGACGGACGGACACGGGCTTAATCTCCAAAACATACAAACAGCTCATTCAACTCAACAACAACAAAAACAACCCAATCGAAAAATGGGCAGAAGAACTAAACAGACATTTCTCCAAAGAAGACAGATGGCCAACAGGCACATGAAAATATGCTCAACATTGCTAATTATTACAGAAATACAAATCAAAACTACAATGAGGTACCACCTCACACCAGTCAGAACGGCCATCACCAAAAGTCTACAAATAACAAATGCTGGAGAGGGTGTGGAGAAAACGGAACCCTCCTACACTCTTGGTGGGAATGTAAGTTGGTGCAGCCACAGTGGAAAACAGTATGGAGGTTCCTCAAAAAGCTAAAAATAGAGTTGCCATATGATCCAGCAATCCCACTCATGGGCATATATCCAGACAAAACTATAATTCCAAAAGATACACGCACCCCTATGTTCACAGTAGCACTATCCACAATAGCCAAGACATGGAAACAATCTAAATGTCCATTGACAGATGAATGGATAAAGATGTGTGTGTGTGTGTGTGTGTGTGTGTGTGTGTGTGTGTACACACACAGTGGAACCCTACTCAGCCATAAAAAAGAACAAAAAAAGGCCATTTGCAGCAACATGGATGGAACTACAGATTATCATACTAAGTGAAGTGAGAAAGAGAAAGACAAATACCATATGATATCACTTATATGTAGAATCTAAAATATGACACAAATGAATTTATCTATGAAATAGACATGGACTCACAGACATAGAGAACAGACTTGTGGTTGCCAAGGGGGAGGGTGGGTAGGGGAGGGATGGATTAGGAGTTTGGGGTTAGCAGATGCAAACTATTATATAGAGAATGGAGAGACAACAAGGTCCTACTGTATAGCACAGGGAACTATATTTAATATCCTGTGATAAACCATAATGGAAAATAATATATATATAAAAAGTATATATAACTGAATCACTCTGCTGTACAGCAGAAATTAACACAACATTGTAAATCAACTATACTTCAATTAAAAAAAGAAAGAAAAATCTATGGATTCATCTCAAAAAAACAAAAAAATACTGTCCTTGTGAAAGTCTGATTGAAATGCCGCTTTTATTGAAACACTGGCCTCTGCTAGCTTTAATGACAACCAACACTGTCTCTCAATCACCAAACTCATCCCATTTACCAGTTCATCTTTTTTTAAATGAAATACTTTTAAACTCATATTATTTTCCTTCTAGTGTTACCTGCAAGAAAAAATCAAATATGGAGAGAATATTAAGAAAGCTCTAAAATTCTTTTTTTTTTTTTTTTTTAAGGCTAGGACAATTAAAAAATATATTTTTATTTATTTTGGCTGCACCGGGTCTCAGTTGCGGCATGCATGTGGGATCGAACCCCGGGCCCCCTGCATTGGGAGCACGGAGTCTTGCCCACTGGACCACCAGGGAAGTCCCCATGCTTACTTCTAATACAACTTCAATTTGCTTAGCAATCCTTTTATTATCCGTTTTCAAACTCCCTATCATGTTCTCAATATACCTGTTCACTTCACTTTTTAAAATATTAATAAACTTCATTTTTTAAGAGAAATTTTATTAGATTCACAGCAAAATTGAGCGCAAAGTACAGAGAGTTCCCATACACTGTAGCGTGCCTCCCCCTCCCCCGGCCCCCGGCAATACAGCCTGTTCCACTATTAACATTCCTCACCAGAGTGGTACATTTGTTACAATTGATGAAACC